TGTTGCTCCCGCACCTCGCTCAGCCAGTGAGCGGCCGGTCTGTATGTGGGATCCGAACCCTCGGCGGGAGCGCCGCCGCTCTCCCAAGCGGCACACTGTAGCAGTGCGCCGCCGGGCGGCCCTAGACATTCTTATTTATCTTTTTTTTCTATTGCATCTGGATTTTAAGCTAGAAAGTATTTCCTTATTTTGAGGTTTTCTTCTAGTACTTGTATGGTTTTATTTTTATTGTGTTTATATACTTGATTCATCCTTATGCATGGTGTGTGCTGTGGACCTAACTTTATCTTCTTTCAAATGACTAACCAGTTATCACAGCAGCATTTATTAAAACCTCCATCTTTGGCCTAGTGATTTGGCATACCATCTTTATCATATACTGATTTCCATTTGTACTTGGGTCTATTTCTAATTCTAATCCATTGGTCTGTTTATCAATTCATGTACTTGTACTACACTGTTTTAATTATATGAGTTTTATAGGTGTTTTAATGTCTCCTATGGCTAGTCCCCTGGTAGCTTTTTTCCCATTTAGTGTTCTCCTGGATATTCTTGCGTGTTTATTTTTTATTTATTTTATTTATTTATTTTTTTTAAAAGATGACCGGTAAGGGGATCTTAACCCTTGACTTGGTGTTGTCAGCACCAAGTTCACCCAGCGAGCAACCAGCCATCCCTATATGGGATCTGAACCCGTGGCCTTGGTGTTATCAGCACCACACTCTCCCGAGTGAGCCACAGGCCGGCCCTTTGCATGTTTATTTTTGAAAATTATTTATTTTCTTAAATTGTGGTAAAATATACATGCCATAAAACTTACCATTTTAACCATTTATTTCCCCAAAGATGACCAGTAAGGGGATCTTAACCCTTGACTTGGTGTTGTCAGCACCACGCTCTCCCAAGTGAGCTAACCGGCCATCCCTATATAGGATCCAAACCTGTGGCCTCGGTGTTATCAACACCACACTTTCCCAAGTGAGCCATGGGCCAGCCCTCATTTTAACCATTTTTAAGTGTACAGTTCAGTAGCATTAGGAACATTTACATTGTTGTGCAACCGTCACCGCCATCTATCCACAGAACTTTGTTCATCTTACAAAACAAACTGTACCCATTAAACAATAACTCCCCGTTTCCCCCTCCCCCCAGCCCCTGGAAACCACCATTCTATTTTCCGTCTCTGAATTTGACTACTCTAAGTACCTTGTGTAAGAGGAATCATACAGTATTTGTCATTTTGTGACTGGCTTATTTCACTTAGCATAATGTCTTCAAGGTTCATACATGCTGTGGCACATGTCAGAATTTCCCTCCTTTCTGGGGCTGAATAATATTCCATTGTGTGTACATACCACATTTTATCTACTCATCCGTCCATGGACAATTGGGTTGCTTCCACCTTTTAGCTATTGTCAAGTCTGTGCTTTCGGTTCTTTTTTCTTTCTTTTTTTTTTTTAAAGATGACCAGTAAGGGGATCTTAACCCTTGGCTTGGTGTTGTCAGCACCAAGTTCACCCAGCGAGCAACCAGCCATCCCTATATGGGATCTGAACCCATGGCCTTGGTGTTATCAGCACCACACTCTCCCGAGTGAGCCATGGGCCGGCCTTGCTTTCAGTTCTTTGGGGTATGTACTCAGAAGTGAAATTGCTGGATCATATGGCAATTCTATTTTTAATTTTTTGAGGAATTGTTGTCCTCCTTTCCATAGCAGCT